GTTAGAAATAGAATCAGCAGGTAAACATTAGAATCAGAATCAGCAGGTAAACATTAGAATCAAAATCAGCAGGTAAACATTAGAATCAAAATCAGCAGGTAAACATTAGAATCAGAATCAGCAGGTAAACATTAGAATCAAAATCAGCAGGTAAACATTAGAATCAGAATCAGCAGGTAAACATTAGAATCAAAATCAGCAGGTAAACATTAGAATCAGAATCAGCAGGTAAACATTAGAATCAGAATCAGCAGGTAAACATTAGAATCAGCAGGTAAACATTAGAATCAGAATCAGCAGGTAAACATTAGAATCAGCAGGTAAACATTAGAATCAGAATCAGCAGGTAAACATTAGAATCAAAATCAGCAGGTAAACATTAGAATCAGAATCAGCAGGTAAACATTAGAATCAGAATCGGCAGGTAAACATTAGAATCAGAATCAGCAGGTAAACATTAGAATCAAAATCAGCAGGTAAACATTAGAATCAGAAGGTAAACATTAGAATCAGAATCAGCAGGTAAACATTAGAATCAGAATCAGCAGGTAAACATTAGAATCAGAAGGTAAACATTAGAATCAGAATCAGCAGGTAAACATTAGAATCAGAATCAGCAGGTAAACATTAGAATCAGAATCAGCAGGTAAACATTAGAATCAGAATCAGCAGGTAAACATTAGAATCAAAATCAGCAGGTAAACATTAGAATCAAAATCAGCAGGTAAACATTAGAATCAGAATCAGCAGGTAAACATTAGAATCAGAATCAGCAGGTAAACATTAGAATCAAAATCAGCAGGTAAACATTAGAATCAAAATCAGCAGGTAAACATTAGAATCAGAATCAGCAGGTAAACATTAGAATCAGAATCAGCAGGTAAATATTAGAATCAGAATCAGCAGGTAAATAATAGAATCAGAATCAGCAGGTAAATATTAGAAATAGAATCAGAAGGTAAACATTAGAATCAGAATCAGAAGGTAAACATTAGAATCAGAATCAGCAGGTAAACATTAGAATCAGAATCAGCAGGTAAATATTAGAATCAGAATCAGCAGGTAAACATTAGAATCAGAATCAGCAGGTAAACATTAGAATCAGAATCAGCAGGTAAACATTAGAATCAGAATCAGCAGGTAAATATTAGAATCAGAATCAGCAGGTAAACATTAGAATCAGAATCAGCAGGTAAACATTAGAATCAGAATCATCAGGTAAACATTAGAATCAGAATCAGCAGGTAAATATTAGAATCAGAATCAGCAGGTAAATGTTAGAAATAGAATCAGCAGGTAAACATTAGAATCAGAATCAGCAGGTAAACATTAGAATCAAAATCAGCAGGTAAACATTAGAATCAAAATCAGCAGGTAAACATTAGAATCAGAATCAGCAGGTAAACATTAGAATCAAAATCAGCAGGTAAACATTAGAATCAGAATCAGCAGGTAAACATTAGAATCAAAATCAGCAGGTAAACATTAGAATCAGAATCAGCAGGTAAACATTAGAATCAGAATCAGCAGGTAAACATTAGAATCAGCAGGTAAACATTAGAATCAGAATCAGCAGGTAAACATTAGAATCAGCAGGTAAACATTAGAATCAGAATCAGCAGGTAAACATTAGAATCAAAATCAGCAGGTAAACATTAGAATCAGAATCAGCAGGTAAACATTAGAATCAGAATCAGCAGGTAAATATTAGAATCAGAATCAGCAGGTAAACATTAGAATCAGAATCAGCAGGTAAACATTAGAATCAGAATCAGCAGGTAAACATTAGAATCAGAATCAGCAGGTAAATATTAGAATCAGAATCAGCAGGTAAACATTAGAATCAGAATCAGCAGGTAAACATTAGAATCAGCAGGTAAACATTAGAATCAGAATCATCAGGTAAACATTAGAATCAGAATCAGCAGGTAAATATTAGAATCAGAATCAGCAGGTAAATGTTAGAAATAGAATCAGCAGGTAAACATTAGAATCAGAATCAGCAGGTAAACATTAGAATCAAAATCAGCAGGTAAACATTAGAATCAAAATCAGCAGGTAAACATTAGAATCAAAATCAGCAGGTAAACATTAGAATCAGAATCAGCAGGTAAACATTAGAATCAAAATCAGCAGGTAAACATTAGAATCAGAATCAGCAGGTAAACATTAGAATCAGAATCAGCAGGTAAACATTAGAATCAGCAGGTAAACATTAGAATCAGAATCAGCAGGTAAACATTAGAATCAGCAGGTAAACATTAGAATCAGAATCAGCAGGTAAACATTAGAATCAAAATCAGCAGGTAAACATTAGAATCAGAATCAGCAGGTAAACATTAGAATCAAAATCAGCAGGTAAACATTAGAATCAGAATCAGCAGGTAAACATTAGAATCAAAATCAGCAGGTAAACATTAGAATCAGAATCAGCAGGTAAACATTAGAATCAAAATCAGCAGGTAAACATTAGAATCAGAATCAGCAGGTAAACATTAGAATCAGAATCAGCAGGTAAACATTAGAATCAGCAGGTAAACATTAGAATCAGAATCAGCAGGTAAACATTAGAATCAGCAGGTAAACATTAGAATCAGAATCAGCAGGTAAACATTAGAATCAAAATCAGCAGGTAAACATTAGAATCAGAATCAGCAGGTAAACATTAGAATCAGAATCAGCAGGTAAACATTAGAATCAAAATCAGCAGGTAAACATTATAATCAGAATCAGCAGGTAAACATTAGAATCAGAATCAGCAGGTAAACATTAGAATCAAAATCAGCAGGTAAACATTAGAATTAGAATCAGCAGGTAAACATTAGAATCAGCAGGTAAACATTAGAATCAGAATCAGCAGGTAAACATTAGAATCAGAATCAGCAGGTAAACATTAGAATCAGAATCAGCAGGTAAACATTAGAATCAGAATCAGCAGGTAAACATTAGAATCAGAATCAGCAGGTAAACATTAGAATCAGAATCAGCAGGTAAACATTAGAATCAGAGTGAGGGGTCTGCAGAGCTCACAGTGCATAGTGCCAATGACCTTTTCTTAGGTCTCACTTAAATGCACAGAGGATGTATTAACCACACATCTCCCAGCAATGCGCTCAACTGCAGAAATGATGTTGTTTTGAAGAGAATGTTGTAATCCCACAACCAACCACATGATGGCGATCTCACAGGAGTTGCTTGAGAAACCAAAGCGGCCTCATTTACGCTGCTTCTTTCTCCTCTTCAGAACAAAACATGAACAAACCGAGCTGTTTGAGATCATTACATGTGTTTCTACTGTAGTTTTATGTGGTAGTTCTATGGACTCTTCATTTCAAAAGTCATTTCAACTGATGTTTTGAATAAAGACTCAGTTCTAGTTGGAAACATAGTTATTATTAAAGTGTTTTCAGCACAAGCAGCAAAAGAATAAGTGGTAAATATCTGAGACAAACAAACTACTTATAAGTGCAGGAGGAATGCAACAGACGCGATAAGCTACAAGTACAGACTTTACACTAGGTCTGTTCCCTGCAAGCCCCAAACTTCTATTGGCTTTCCATATAAAATATCTGTCCGGGTGGGGATGAAGCATGGATCTATTATAATAACGGGATGAAACAAAGAAACTTGTAAAATAACATGTTTAAATGCGGTACCCTTTGACAGGGTTCTTCTGAGGAACACAAACATTCATATTTGCAGTCTATGGTGTATGCGCTGGTCTTGCAAGTACTGCTGTGTGTGGGTCATGCACAAAGCCTCACACGTGATTGGACGAGGAGTCGAAGGCGCTTCAGGCTCCTCCAATCACAGACGAGGTTATTGTTATACGGAAGGACTCGCGAGACCAGCTCCTTATAAAACCAGAGCGGTGCACCCCACGGATCTATAGAGATATCTCACGTGACGTCACGATGCCTCGAACTCGCGGGGCATCCGCCATACTGGAGGACAAGCAAACGCTGTATGATAGTGGCGTGCACCCGGGACCGCATAAACATGTTCAACATTTTTGCCGTTTTTGGCTGCAGCAAAAGGAGAGACAGGGAAAATAAGTTGTGTTACCGACTGCCAGCCGTCCTTACTTCACACGGCTCAAAAACAGAAGACATCTCAAAGAAACGAGAGAGAAATGGCACAACCATACGCAACAACAAAAAACTAATAGCCCCCAGAGCGCCCGAATATGCTCGGATCATTTCATTTCTGCTAAGTGAAATCAATTTGATGGCGGATTTAGTGTTATTCCGAAACAAACAGAAGTTTAAGGATAAAACATATCTGTCTGACTGCAACGTGGGGTTGCTCCGTAGACTGTAGCTTAGCTTGTAGCATAGCTGTTATATATTTGGTCTCACACAGGACCTGACCCGGTTCACAGGGTATCTGACTTACCGAAGGCCAGCAGACATGTGAACGACTGAGCCGTGCTCGAGGGTGCCCCGTACTAGTATTTATTAATAAAATATACGGCTCCTCACAGGAGACGCAGAAAGCTCCATTGATTTGAATGTAATCTCATTATTTCCACTGCAGTGTAGCCACACATAGATCAATGGTGTAACAATAAACACATTAAATGTTAATCGGAGAATACATTATACATATACATTCTTAATACACGTGCACAGAGGTTTTCAGAATTTTCTGTTCACGTTTTCATGAAAAAACACTGTTTTTATGCGACCGCGGTAAACCTGGATGTAACGAATACATTTTAGGATGCATTTTCAGAGGATCTGATTCATGAATTTAGGTTGAGTATATATTTGGGTCACTAACTGCAGAAGTTTCAAATTCTCTGTTCAGTTTTCATGTAGTTCGAGAGAGTTCTAGCTAGCAGGGCTGTTACTCGCCGAGGTTGTCCTCCAGTATGGCTGCCGTGGCTGCTAGTCACGTGACCGTAGGATCCCTCTATTCCCGTGTGTCCGCCTAAAGCTGCCTTTAAAGCTGTCTCTAAAGCTGACTTTAAAGCTGACAGTGAAGCTGACTGTGCAGAGATGGAAAAACCCCACCTGAAGAAGAAACCTCGGCGCTTCTGTGAACATTGCAGCCTTGAACTCTCTCATGCACAGTATTATGACCACAGGAGGCGCTATTTCAGAAATGGAGTTTGGGAGAAAAATCTCCAAAGGACTCGGTCCGATAACGCACAGATCCTGTTATCCCGTCACACCGGAGGGAGGTCTGTGCGTCCTGGAGCTGGAGAGACGCATGAGCGTGAGATGCAGACCGAGCACCCAGGGAAAGAAGTGAAGGAAGAACATGAAGACAACGGTGAGCAGCAAATCTGTAATAGTTAGTGTGCAGTAAAATGTGTTTGCTTCCCATGGTAATGATTATTGTAATAATCATTAATAATCAAATACGGACATCTCATTGTAATGCATAACTATATAATGCATGGGTTGTTTTCCAGACGAAACTGCAGATGACCAAAACATTCATCTTTTCATGGATTCCAGTGACTCAGAGTCTGTGCAAGATGAAGACCTCTCCTGTCATGAGGTAAGGCATGAAATTACCTTAGAATATAGCATACAAGTTTATATATGTATACAGCTATACATGCAATCCAGAGCTCAAACAGTTCTCCAGTCTCAGTACTACTACTGCTACTCTCAGTGTACAGTTTCTGTTAAACAATCAAAGCAACTAAACACTAAAACAAACACAGCGAGCTGTTTGAGATGAACTTGATTTTTGTCAAACTACAGTTGTAAAATCTTTTCATGTTCAAATGGTGGTATTAATGATGGTCTTTTCACTCTCAAATGGACATTCATGCACTGAGCACGGTCGTTTGAGCTGCACATTTCGGTTTCTGGTACCGGATGCACCAGCACCCGGATGGCCCGTCCTACGACCCGAACATCTGTCAGAAGAAGGTTCCACTGGGGGAGTTCTTCAACAACACGGCCCACTCCCAAGGCTGGTTCGCTCTGTGGATCTTCCAGGACTACTTCCCGGTGAAGGAGGGCAAGTGTGGCTCGAAACAACCAGAACCCGCCGTCTTCAACAAACTCACGGCCTGGAACTGTGAGAAAGGAGCAGAGTGGGTCAACGTGGGCGCGGTCCACTTTAACAACTTCCTCATGGTCAACAACGAGAAGGCGGGAACCGAGCACAAGCGAATCCTCATCAACTACATCGATTCTTTCAGCCCAGAAGGCGGGGCCGTGGTGTCGAACAGTGTTATCGTGGGCCGTGTGGATGAACTGGGCCTGGACCTCTGCACCTTCAGAGGCATCATCGCGCCGCTGGACGACGGCCTCAGCGTCATCAACACCACATTCATCAACTTTGACCGAAGCGGCTGCGCGGCCATCGGCGTGGCCAGGATAGACGGGACGTGTATCGACAAATGTGGAGGGTGGGCCGTGAGGTTCTCCCACATCACGTACCACAACACGCCAAACAAAGCCGGGTTCAGGTGGGAGCACGAGGTGCAGCTGCTGGACATGGACGGGACTCTGACAGGTGAACTTCTTTATACAAACCTTTGTCCTTTTGTAAATCAGTATTTTCAGAATGATTCAAAAACAAATGCACAGATCATCAGAAGAATCAACATGAATACAAAGAAAAAATAATAATTGTAATTTTCAAACTGCTCCCTCTGGTGGTGATCAGGAGTTACTACGGGTCACGTTCATAAAGACATCGGCCAAAGACATTTAACCATTCACATGTTCTACTAAACATGTACCATTCACATGTTCTACTAAACATGTACCATTCACATGTTCTACTAAACATGTACCATTCACATGTTCTACTAAACATGTACCATTCACATGTTCTACTAAACATGTACCATTCACATGTTCTACTAAACATGTGCCATTCACATGTTCTACTAAACATGTACCATTCACATGTTCTATTAAACATGTACCATTCACATGTTCTACTAAACATGTGCCATTCACATGTTCTACTAAACATGTACCATTCACATGTTCTACTGAACATGTGCCATTCACATGTTCTACTAAACATGTACCATTCACATGTTCTACTAAACATGTGCCATTCACATGTTCTACTAAACATGTACCATTCACATGTTCTACTGAACATGTACCATTCACATGTTCTACTGAACATGTACCATTCACATGTTCTACTGAACATGTACCATTCACATGTTCTACTAAACATGTGCCATTCACATGTTCTACTAAACATGTACCATTCACATGTTCTATTAAACATGTACCATTCAAATGTTCTACTAAACATGTGCCATTCACATGTTCTATTAAACATGTACCATTCACATGTTCTACTAAACATGTACCATTCACATGTTCTATTGAACATGTACCATTCACATGTTCTACTAAACATGTACCATTCACATGTTCTACTGAACATGTACCATTCACATGTTCTACTAAACATGTACCATTCACATGTTCTACTGAACATGTACCATTCACATGTTCTACTGAACATGTACCATTCACATGTTCTACTAAACATGTACCATTCACATGTTCGACTAAACATGTACCATTCACATGTTCAACTAAACATGTACCATTCACATGTTCTATTAAACATGTACCATTCACATGTTCTACTAAACATGTGCCATTCACATGTTCTATTAAACATGTACCATTCACATGTTCTACTAAACATGTACCATTCACATGTTCTACTAAACATGTACCATTCACATGTTCTACTGAACATGTACCATTCACATGTTCTACTAAACATGTACCATTCACATGTTCTATTAAACATGTACCATTCACATGTTCTACTAAACATGTGCCATTCACATGTTCTATTAAACATGTACCATTTACATGTTCTACTAAACATGTACCATTCACATGTTCTATTAAACATGTACCATTCACATGTTCTACTAAACATGTGCCATTCACATGTTCTATTAAACATGTACCATTTACATGTTCTACTAAACATGTACCATTCACATGTTCTACTGAACATGTACCATTCACATGTTCTACTAAACATGTACCAGTACCATTCACATGTTCTACTAAACATGTACCGGTCACATGTTCTACTAAACATGTACCATTCACATGTTCTACTGAACATGTACCATTCACATGTTCTACTGAACATGTACCATTCACATGTTCTACTGAACATGTACCATTCACATGTTCTACTAAACATGTGCCATTCACATGTTCTATTAAACATGTACCATTCACATGTTCTACTGAACATGTACCATTCACATGTTCTACTGAACATGTACCATTCACATGTTCTACTGAACATGTACCATTCACATGTTCTACTAAACATGTACCATTCACATGTTCTATTAAACATGTACCATTCACATGTTCTACTAAACATGTGCCATTCACATGTTCTATTAAACATGTACCATTTACATGTTCTACTAAACATGTACCATTCACATGTTCTACTGAACATGTACCATTCACATGTTCTACTAAACATGTACCAGTACCATTCACATGTTCTACTAAACATGTACCATTCACATGTTCTACTAAACATGTACCATTCACATGTTCTACTGAACATGTACCATTCACATGTTCTACTGAACATGTACCATTCACATGTTCTACTGAACATGTACCATTCACATGTTCTACTGAACATGTACCATTCACATGTTCTACTAAACATGTACCATTCACATGTTCAACTAAACATGTACCATTCACATGTTCTACTAAACATGTGCCATTCACATGTTCTATTAAACATGTACCATTCACATGTTCTACTGAACATGTGCCATTCACATGTTCTACTAAACATGTACCATTCACATGTTCTACTAAACATGTGCCATTCACATGTTCTACTAAACATGTACCATTCACATGTTCTACTAAACATGTACCAGTACCATTCACATGTTCTACTAAACATGTGCCATTCACATGTTCTATTAAACATGTACCATTCACATGTTCTACTAAACATGTACCATTCACATGTTCTACTGAACATGTACCATTCACATGTTCTACTGAACATGTACCATTCACATGTTCTACTGAACATGTACCATTCACATGTTCTACTGAACATGTACCATTCACATGTTCTACTAAACATGTGCCATTCACATGTTCTACTAAACATGTACCATTCACATGTTCTACTGAACATGTACCATTCACATGTTCTACTAAACATGTACCATTCACATGTTCTATTAAACATGTACCATCACATGTTCTACTAAACATGTACCATTCACATGTTCTATTAAACATGTACCATTCACATGTTCTACTGAACATGTACCATTCACATGTTCTACTAAACATGTACCATTCACATGTTCTATTAAACATGTCATTTCACTTTCTAAACCATAAACTAAATTAAAAGTATCATTTTGATTTCTTATGGATAAAACGATGCATAATATTTATTTTTTAAGGCGTGTGTTTTTAACTTTGTTATGCAGATTTAAAATACAGTTTAAATTCAATGCCTTCATTCACAAAAAAACTTTATTTTATTTGTTTAATGTTTTTATTTTCAGGACATAAAAACTACAAAGTGGTTCCAACGTCGGGTCTGCTGGACCCGGCCCACTGCTCCCAGAGCCCGGACTGGAGCGTGGCCTTTAACGGCTCCGTCTGTGACGACTCCGTCAACTTCCACCGTTTGGCTTTTAACAATCCTCTGCCGTCGTCTATCGCCGGACACGACACGCTGCTCAGCAACCAGTTTGGTAAGAGCTCTAACTAACTCTAATTTAACTCTAAAATAACTCTAACTAACACGACACGCTGCTCAGCAACCAGTTTGGTAAGAGCTCTAACTAACTCTAACTTAACTCTAAAATAACTCTAACTAACATGACATGCTGCTCAGCAACCAGTTTGGTAAGAGCTCTAACTAACTCTAACTTAACTCTAAGTTACAGTTGTCCCTGTACTTTAGCAGAACATATCCCTCTGTCCCACAGGAGGGAGCTCCGTCCCGTACATGAAGAAGAGGATGACCCACACACTGGGCTGGATGGCTCTGTTACCCTCAGACATGACCTACATGTGGAGCTTTGATGATGCAGAACACATTACTAACATCTCCTACACCGCCACCTTCTACGGATTCAAGGTCTGTAACACTTTATTAAACATAATTTAACTTAATTGAACATAATTGAACTGGTGCTTAAGGGGAAGAAGTGGATGGATGGATATTATAAATGTGAACACATATTTATATATCATGTGTTCTGTTGTGAAACAGCCGTCTGAGTTTGTGATCATCGGCCACAACTTCACCCAAAGTCCAGACCGGTTCCACGTCGTGGACAACAGGAACGGCTCCGCGGCGCCTCTGAGCTTCAGCCAGAACCAGAACGGGGACTGGTACTTCCACAAGGAGGACAACAGTCTGTACTACATGGGTCTGTACTGACGCCTTTAGGTTTAAATATTCATCATAACAGTAATAATAATCCTTTTTTTACATTCCCACGAAACCTCAAAGCTCTTTGGAAAAGTGTGACAGAAATATAAAAGTGAGATATAGTGAAATGACTTCTTACAGGCCTTACTTAAAATACGCTGCGATTTATGATGAGATAAAATCAGAAATCTTTTTTCATACAGCATAGAATAAAACAAACAGGAGCTCAGAGTTATTATATTCTCGTTGGAAGTGACAAACTAAGGTCTCCTGCAGCTGTGACAGAGGAAATACTCAGACGACCCAAAACCAACGATAAAACCAACGATAAAACCAACGATAAAACCAAACTATGTCCTGCTCCTTTTCAGCGTCATGTTCTGTTTGTGTCCTTTTCTTTATGCCTTTGACCGACTCTGTGAGGTGAATATCTTGTGTTTTAACAGAGGCTCAAATAAATAAATAAATGTCTACATATATTTTGAGAAGAACTTCCCTAGTTTCGGTACAGATGGACTTTATGACCTTGTTAAATAGTTTGTGGTCTGAACAGGACGACTCCAGCTTTAACAGACAAACCCTGTCTCTCTTGGTTCTCAGTGTCTGGTAAAACGAGTGAGCCCAGGTCCAAAGGCAGCGCTGACCCGTCTCTCTCTGATGTGGACGTCCAGCTGAAGGTCTACAGATGCTTTTACCCACAGTGCATTGCGCCCACACCCCCCCCTCCAGCCACCCTGCCCCCCCTGCCCAACAAGAGGCCCGACAACTTCATGTAAGACCTGTTCCAGTCCAGACTGGGTTTGACACACGGCTCTCCTGTAGTTATGCAAACACCAGTGACTGTTCTATTTGATGGATTATTTATTATTAATATTATTATTATTATTATTTCTGCACTGGTCAAAAACCAACGTTTTCCTGTGATTGGATATTGTAAGACATAATAATGATTATTGTTCTGTTCCACAAGCTAATATTAAAGCCCCATTACCTGCCTTTAACTTATATAACACAGCATTTCTTTCACCTTGAGGTCTTGTATTGGTGGCAGAGGAGAAACCATAACATCATGAGTTTGAATCCCACAAACCTGACTTGGACCAGACGTCTGGAGAAGTCTTTCTGTTGTTTCCAAGAAAACCTTTTGCTTTTGAGGCTGTAATCCTCAACAATAATATGACTTTTCAAACTTATAAGAGAGTGAAGCCTGGACAGACATGCACTGGTTAGACACGCCTCCGCAGGCTTCTGATTGGACGAAATAAATTCAAATCCTTGAGACCCTTCGTCATTGGTTTAACTGTTCTCCTCCAGAACAATCTTACTGGTTGTAGTTTTGTGAAGGGAAGGGACTGTTTTGAATATATTATTGTTGAAAGTTACTTACTGAACATGATAGTACAATGTCCTGTGGTCAGAATTATGTATTATTTAAAAAATGAAATACACGTGAAGTTAATGAGTTCACCTTTAAACAGGCCAATACCTCACTGATAAGTGATAAGTGTCCTTGTTCTCTGCAGTCGATGGTCTGATGCGTCTTTTTGGACCTCCTCGTCTGATAATAACAACACAGTCCCAGCAGAGGGCGCTGATGTGGTCATCCCAACAGGTGACGCTCACTCTGCAGCATTTTCACACATATTTTCTGCTTATAGTGTATTCAAGATTCATTTGATCGTGTCTCGTGAGAAAGATGTGTCTTGGAATCGCAGACTCCACACACACAGACGACAATCACAGAATTCCATGATACGTGTGATTGTTCCAGCTTCTTCCCTCCCTGCAGGTCAGTGGGTGGTTTTGGACGACAGCACTCCTGCTCTGAACAGACTCACGGTGAACGGAGTCTTGGAAATCCCCGATGACTTGAGCTCAAACAGCAGCAGCAGAAGAAGAAGGTCCACAGACGGTCCCGTGGTCATCGAGGCCACACACATCATGATCCAGGTCTGTGGAGAGGTCACACACGCTAAACATCCCTCTCAGGATTATATCTGCGAAGGAAGTGCAAAGGCCAAAAAAGGTCCTGAAGCTAGAATTGAAAAACAGTTGAACTAAATCCAACTTTGATGCTAGAGATAGATTTTGTTTTATTTTGATTAGTACAGCTATTGTTCACTTCTCGGTGCTGGGTGCTCCGCTTTCCTACTGTTCTGTAACTTCTGAAATGTCCCCACTGTGGGACAAATAAAGGATCTATTAATCTTAATCTTAATCTTTCTAAACTTGTCTTTTTGTTGAATCAAATCCATCTGTAATATATTTGTCTTGCCTCAAGCAGGTGGCAAACCGCACATCACCTTAAACATGTTATAAATAATAATAATCTTTTCAGCATGTAACGACATCGTTCCCTCATCAACATGTTGTTTTTAGATCCATCCATGCTCATTTCAGGATCGTGTGTCTCTGTACCACTATGACGTCATGCTCAGGGCCTGTTCTACCTTTTTAAAACCAAAGTAACCAAAGTATTGACCAACATTTAGTATATTACGATCCCATGTCTGACTCAAAGCCTCCCCCTGGTGGCAGCATAGGGAGCTACAGGCAGAAAGCATGTTTTACCCTTTATGATTTCTATTTAAGATATTATTCTACATTCTAAACGTTTTTCTTCTTTAAAACAATCATCTATTCATCTAGAGCCACATGTTTCTTTGCCTGTGTCTCTGGTCCCTCAATTGTCACTGAAACAATATAAACAATATAATATAATCGTAGTAGTAGTTTATCTGAGCAGTTTTAGAGTGTATTTTTACAGGTACATATCAATTGAAAACACAAAGCTCAAAAGGAGAAGACCAAACGTTTACATGTGCCTTTCCCATGATCAGTCCTTGAAGCGACTGCAAACAGATCAGGGTGAATAATAACAGGTAAATGATTGTTGTGCCTTTGCCTGTGTGTTCCAGGGGGGCCGGCTGGTCGCTGGGTCTCCACAGGCTCCATTTGAAGGAGAGCTGCACCTCAGACTGAGAGGGAACCACCTCACCCCAGACTGGCCTCTGCCCGAAGGACCCAACCTGGGATCCAAAGCCCTGGGTAAGAACCTTTCACATTTGTTGTGAAAGGTGTTTTAGACAGAAATGATCAAACCGGTTTCTCCTCAGGTGTGTTTGGGATTCTGGAGCTCTATGGGAAGCCATCAGAGGTCTACCACACCAAACTATCTGCTTCCTCTGCCGCTGGAACCAACACTCTGGCTCTGGCCACGGCTGTGGACTGGAAGGTCAGTCTGGTCTTGGCCTTGATTTAAAGCTTGTGTTTCCAAACTTCTTTCATAAATACAATGTTTTTGTTTGTAAGAAAGAGCGCTGTGAGTCGCTGAGAGGGACTCACACTGGTCACATGCAGAAAGTGTGAAAGTGCACATTGGAGAACAGTAATAAACCTCTTGTCACGAGGTGAGATGATGGCGGACTCAAAATGCAGGAATGCCAAAATAATGGTTTAATGAAATAAAAGATCAGGTGAAAACTAAACTCAAAATCCAAAATACAGAACCAGGAACAAAAAATCAGGAACAGGACAGAACATAAGTTGACAATACAATGGACCAGCAACAAGAGGAGAGGAGCACAGGGTAATTATAGACAGAGACACAGGTGAAACACATTAGGGCGGGGCAGACAATCAAGACACGGGAAACAGGACGTCAAAGTCAAACTAAAACCAAAGCACAGAGAACAGATATCAAAATAAAACTAAAGTCCAAAACAAGAAAATCCACACCATGACACCTCTATTTCCACTGGACGTCTTTAATCTAATTCGATCTAATAGTGTGCTTTGTAATTTGACTTATGTGGCTGGAAAATGTTTAGCACAAATTAAAGCTGGGTTACCTAACATTTAAATTGGAACATGATAAGTTCCATCCAAGTAGTTAGTTCTCACACTAGTTTTCATGTATTTTTGCCTCATTCCACTTTTTAATGATAAAAGTGAAAGGACCAGGATCATGTTCCAGCCTAAAGCATCACAGAGCGACTCATGGGGCTTTCTTTAGTTTGTTTCTAATGAGACTTAGTTTCCTTTCACAGATCTCTTGCTGTTGTGACAAATACAGAACAAATGTATTTGAATAAAGACGTTATGTTCTCCAGATATAACTTCATAAAGTAAATAATCATGTTGATAATTGTGTCCTCAGGTCGGTGATGAAGTGGCCATCTCCACCACCAGCTACGACGCCTGGGAGACGGAAAAACACGTGATCTCTGCCGTGTCCCAGGACGGACTGACGCTGACTCTGGACACGCCTCTCGCTCACACACACATCGGTCAGCCTCAACCTCACACACAGATTTACTAACACACATACTGTCATATATATTTACATAGATTCATACATATTCATATTAGTGCTGTCCAAAATATCGCGTTATTAACGCGTTAACGCAAATCAATATTAACGGCGTCATTTTTTTTATCGCCATTAATTTTTTTTATAATTATTAAAAAAAAAACACATATACAGAAAAAAAATAGACACAAAGAAAAGGACTAGTTTAAGATACATTGTAGACAGAGATTACAAACAATATGTAGTTGGAGATACAGGGGGCCAAAGAAGAAACCCAGAAGGGCACATAGGAGGGGGGGGGGGGGGAGGGACATGAAGTGGGAGATGGGGGGGAGGGGTTAATAAAAAAGGCAATACAAGCAAACAGTATACAGTCATAGATATACCGAAAGTAAACAGAGAAACACTATAGAGTATATTTACATGAACAAATTTACAAAAAAATTGTTTATCATCATCATAATGACACCATGATGTTTCTATACAGTCTATGGTCTATACCCACACATACACACACACACCCACACACACACACACACCCACACCCATAAACACACACACTCCACACACACACACACACACATTGAAGGGGCTTTTTGTTACCAATTATTTATTTTGTCATCCATTTATTGATGATTTTGCATCAAATGTTAGTGTGTAATATAACACTACACATTGTTTTCAATAAAAAAAGAAATTGCACACAGCACGCAAATGGGTGACTAATTTGCGATTAATCGCGAGTTAACTATGAAATTCATGCGATTAATCGCGATTAAATATTTTAATCGTTGGACAGCACTAATTCATATATATTCATACATATTCATATGTATTCCTACACGTGTCCTCTGCGCAGCTGAAACCCACACCGTCGCTGGTACGGCTCACAGCTACACGCTCGCCGCTGACGTGGCTCTTCTGAGCAGGAATATTAAGATCATCGGAGCCGAGTACGAGGAGATGGAGAAGGAGTCGTTTGGAGCCCGGGTCCTGGTGGGAACCTTCTCCTTTGGGGGAATAGACTACAAAGGTACATGATTAAACAGAAACAACTTATAACTAATACAAACTGGGAAAATTAGAATATTGTACAAAAGAAATGGACTTTGGCTTGTAACTGTACTACCCAACCTTTAATGTTGTTCCTGAAGGCAAAGCTCAGATCAGAAATGTGGAGTTCTACCGCAGCGGTCAGGAGGGCTGGTCTGACGACTACGACCCGCGCTACTCCGTGGCCTTCCTCAACCTGGAACAGGTGGGACATGGACCTGTGTTGTTAAACGTTTAAAAAGATTCAAATCTGTTTTTTAGATTAAGTGAACCCAAGGACTGGGTGAAAATATAAATAGGACAATTAAAATAATGTATGGCTACTAAGACAACGCACACAGTAGTGTTAGGGTCAGACTAAGACGCACACAGTAGTGTTAGGGTCAGACTAAGACACACACAGTAGTGTTAGGGTCAGACTAACACGACACACACAGTAGTGTTAGGGTCAGACTAAGACACACACAGTAGTGTTAGGGTCAGACTAACACGACGCACACACTGTAGTGTTAGGGTCAGAGGTCGTCTCAGCTGAAGCTCCGTACGGTCAAAAGGGCAGTAACAAACCTTTCTACTTTTGTTAAAGTCAGTCCAGTTCAGTTTAAGGAGAAGCAAAACCTTCCAAAATGCCCTGTGTGTGTATCATCGTCATGTGTGTGTATCATCGTCATGTGTGTGTATCATCGTCATGTGTGTGTATCATTGTCATGTGTGTGTATCATCGTCCTCTTTGATCACAGGTGGAGGACACGTACCTTCAGGGCTGCTCTTTCCACGACGGTTTCTCTCCAGCGATCGGAGTGTTCAACACAGAAGGTCTTTGGATCGAGGACAACGTGATCCACCACACTGTGGGAGAAGGTAACCACACTCTCAGGTCCAGACCAGGCCAGACCAGGCCAGGTCTCATTATGCTGTGGATTGAAGTAGACCATAACCATACATTACATGGACCATTGCCGATGAGACAGTAGCTGCGTTTCCATTGAATAATGCGCAAAAACTTTTTCGATACATTTCAAAATTTGAAAAACCTGTAATTCGCAAAAGCGGCCGTTTCCATTAAGACATATTCGAATAAGTATACACTATTTTTGCGCGTTTATTCACTAGTTTCTAGTACGTCAACATGGCAACAGAAGTAAACAACACTTTGATTTACGTGAGATATATTAATGTCTTGACTCTCATCCTTAACCGGATTAAGCGTCGGCGGCATCTCCTTCTGAGTGTAATGGAACGGCGATCTCCGTATACTTGGAGAGGATGCGGATGAGTAGCTTTTGGGAAGTCGTGGGACATGATTTCACAGAGGAACTATGGATCCAAAACTTCAGAATGACGCGCACAACATTTGAGGAGCTGTGCGAAGCGGTGGGGCAGCTTGTGGCTCCCGCTGCACACTGCCCTAGAGAGGCAGTTCCCACAGAGCATTGCCATTGTTATAACTATAAACTGGCTACTTGTGCGGAGTATAGAGAAGTGGCTGAGACATTTGGAGTGAGCAAGACCACAGTCCATGGGTGTGTTTATGGGGTGTGTAAGGCGTTATGTAAAAAACTAATGAAGAAATACATCGCATTGCCAGATGTGAATGAGGCAAAAGAAATTGCCATGCGTAATTACGCAGCGCAGGGCTTGCCACAAATCTATGGAGCAATAGATGGATCACACATCCCTAATCGTGCCCCGAAGGATGGCTACAGGGATTACGTTAACAGGAAAGGGTGGCCGTCAAAAAAAAACCCACCGATTTTAAGCGCATTAACTTTTTATCGAAAAAACTGTGGTTTATTCGAAATTTGCGCGTTTCCATTAGACATTTTATGATGCGCAAATTCAAATTTCGAAATTTGATGCTCAATGGAAACGCAGCTACTGAGGGAGGGGGCTTCCAATGAGCGGCAAACATCACTTCTGCAGCGGTCAGCCTGGAGAACCACTGTTTTTAGGCTTTACTGTCTAAAAACTCTTTTGTTTCTTTGTAGAAAGTTGTTTATAACTTTAATGTTTCTTTTCTTGTTTTGTTCAGTCCTTTGAGTGTCTTGTCTATGAACTGACCATAAAGAGATAAACATGCTTTGCCTTATATTTAACCTGTATGTTAGGAATCAGGGTTTGGGGCCACAACACCACACTGAAGAGGAACCTGGTGATGATGACGCTTTGGCCCGGATCGTACCAGGACCGAGAGGAAGACTTTAACTATGAGTGGAACGCTGCTATAGAGGTCTGTGTTCTACCAAAACATGTTTTTATTTAGTGCAGACTGTGAGTGACTTTGAGATGTGGTTGGGTTAGAAATTCTTAGTTGAATCGTTTGTTTAGCCGACCTCGTAAATGCTACTTCTGCTACTGTGTGGGTAGCAACAACCCGGCAACCATGAGCCAATCAGGAGCAGTGCCAGTCTATTCTCTCTTGTGCTGTTCATTAAAGCCACATTCAGAGACAGCAAGCCCCTGATTGGTCATCAGTTAGGAGACATGTCTGGATTTACAAAGACAATATCAAAAAAACATCAGGATCATAGAAAGCGCTAAACAATTATTTTTTTAAGCCCAAAATGAGTGTGACACAAACCGTTACTGAGACAGAGGAGTTTACTTAAACATGTAAGTCAATAGGAGCCAGAGCGAGATGAAGCAAAACTTTACCCAAGAGCACTTCCCTACTGCACTGCATTGAGCTGAAGGGTTTACATTGTCCATCTATGTACAGTCTATGTTTGCACACACAACGACAGAGGGAAAGCGTGTTAACAGCCGTTGTTCTTGTTTCCAGGTGAACAGGGCGACTTCTGTGGTTTTGCGGGACAACATCGTGGCGGGTTACGAGCGGGTGGCGTTCCGCATCGATGGGGAACCGTGTCCAGGTAACTCCTCCCCCTGTACCCGTGTGTAGGTGTTACGTTTGTGTATGTCCTGACACGCTCTCTGCAGGAACTCCCAACGACAGTGAGATGTGGCGGCGGAACGAGGCGCACGGCGGTCTGCTCGGCGTGTATCTGAACGAAGATGGCCTCCCTGAATGTTCGCTGATTCAGGACTTTTTTGTTTGGAAAAGCTACGACTACGGGATCTACTTCCAGGTTTGTGCATCTCTCCATCTAAAATCCATACTGTTTGATCCTGTCCTAGTTAAGTTAGTCAGTCAGTCAGTCAGTCAGTCAGTCAGTCAGTCAGCCAGCCAGTCAGTCAGTCAGTCAGTCAGTCAGTCAGTCAGTCAGCCAGTCAGTCAGTCAGTCAGCCAGTCAGTCAGTCAGTCAGTCAGTCAGTCAGTCAGTCAGTCAGTCAGTCAGCCAGTCAGCCAGTCAGTCAGTCAGCCAGTCAGTCAGTCAGTCAGTCAGTCAGTCAGTCAGTCAGTCAGTCAGCCAGTCAGTCAGTCAGCCAGTCAGTCAGTCAGTCAGTCAGTCAGTCAGCCAGCCAGCCAGTCAGTCAGCCAGCCAGTCAGTCAGCCAGCCAGTCAGTCAGTCAGTCAGTCAGTCAGTCAGTCAGTCAGTCAGTCAGTCAGTCAGCCAGCCAGCCAGTCAGTCAGTCAGTCAGTCAGTCAGTCAGTCAGTCAGTCAGCCAGCCAGCCAGCCAGTCAGTCAGTCAGTCAGCCAGCCAGCCAGTCAGCCAGCCAGCCAGCCAGCCAGCCAGCCAGCCAGCCAGTCAGTCAGTCAGTCAGCCAGCCAGCCAGTCAGTCAGCCAGCCAGCCAGTCAGCCAGCCAGCCAGCCAGCCAGCCAGCCAGCCAGTCAGTCAGTCAGTCAGTCAGTCAGCCAGCCAGCCAGCCAGCCAGCCAGCCAGTCAGTCAGTCAGTCAGTCAGTCAGTCAGTCAGTCAGTCAGTCAGTCAGTCAGTCAGCCAGCCAGCCAGTCAGTCAGTCAGTCAGTCAGTCAGTCAGTCAGTCAGTCAGTCAGTCAGTCAGTCAGTCAGTCAGTCAGTCAGTCAGTCAGTCAGTCAGTCAGTCAGTCAGTCAGTCAGTCAGTCAGTCAGTCAGTCAGTCAGTCAGTCAGTCAGTCAGTCAGTCAGTCAGTCAGTCAGTCAGTCAGTCAGTCAGTCAGTCAGGTCGGCAGGTAGTTAGGTAGGTAAGTAGTTAGTTAGTTAGTTAGGTCGGCCGGTAGTTAGGTAGGTAGGTAGTTAGGTAGGTAGGTAGGTAGTTAGTTAGGTAGGTAGGTAGGTAGTTAGGTAGTTAGTTAGGTAGGTAGGTAGGTAGGTAGTTAGGTAGGTAGGTAGGTAGTTAGTTAGTTAGTTCGTTTTACCATATTCTTAGATTTATCTTTTTATTTCCTGGTTATGAAGGATACATCTATGCAAGGGAAGTTACTAAGCCACTAACCCACCGCGGGGAAGACACTGGGCCAAAGTGTGTATGTGTGCGCGTGTGTGTGTTCTAACTACAGTATGCACTTGTTTTTTTGTGTTGATAAATGTGAAAATGTGTAGTTCCTCTGACATGAGAAATGTGTTCAAAATAAATCCATCTGTGGTCGACAAAGTTAAATGCAATTGTTCAGCGTTTAAATGGACATTATTCAGACTTTAAACGCTGTGTTTTTCAGGTGACCCAGAGCATGGTCATCTCCAACGTGACGCTGGTGGACAACGGTCTTGGCGTGTTGTCGCTCATCTACACACCCGCATCCATCACCCACAAGTATTCTGACAAAAGAGTGACCATAGAGGTGAGCTAAGCCTGTCTGAGATTAAAACAAAACCCAAAGTCTATTGTCTGTGTTTATATCGTTGGGATCGTGTCCCCTCAGTCGTCTCTGGTCGTGGGCAGCAGCCCAAACTTCAACTGTTCACAAACTCTTCCCACCGGAGACTTCAATGTCATCAACTCTGCCACACACCGCATCGGCCGACACAAAACAGGTACTTTCATTTAGTACCGTTAGAGTAAAACAGGTACTTTCATTTAGTAATGTTAGAGTAAAACAGGTACTTTCATTTAGTAATGTTAGAGTAAAACAGGTACTTTCATTTAGTAATGTTAGAGTATTAGTATGAGAGAAATAAAACAGGTACTTTCATTTAGTACCGTTAGAGTATTAGTATAAGAGAAATAAAACAGGTACTTTCATTTAGTAATGTTAGAGTATTAGTATGAGAGAAATAAAACAGGTACTTTCATTTAGTACCGTTAGAGTATTAGTATAAGAGAAATAAAACAGGTACTTTCATTTAGTAATGTTAGAGTATTAGTATGAGAGAAATAAAACAGGTACTTTCATTTAGTACCGTTAGAGTATTAGTATAAGAGAAATAAAACAGGTACTTTCATTTAGTACCGTTAGAGCACATGTGTCAAAGTCAAGGCCCGCGGGCCAAATCCGGCCCGCAAATGAATTTTACATGGACTATTAAGTCAATTGCGTTTTCCGCTATTTTCATGTTCCCAGATGTCTATTATATCTAATATGTTTGGGGATAAGCTTGAGAGCATATTGAATCGAACCAGCAGGTGGCAGCAGCGCTCTCTGAATGGTTTGAAAACAGCTAGATGCACTTGTTGTGCCTCTTTTTTCTCAGCTTTTTGGTGATTTTAGTAAAACTTCCCTCTACTCAACTGGGGATTACAAGCTAGAAACAAAATTCTTTTTGCTGATGAAAGTAGACAGTCTATTCTTTCAGAATCTGGTTTCAGAATTCAGATAGTCATAGTACACAATATTCTGTGGGTCTTGAAAAATCTATAAAAATCATCAGAAACTGCTGGAAATATGGGAGTACCTGTTCTGAAATAGGCTGGCAGTCAATGAGTTAATAAACATTGAACCAGTCCGGCCCTCGGCTCGCAGCAAATGTATTTTTTTGGCCCTCTGATGTATTTGACTTTGACATGCCTGCGTTAGAGTATTAGTATAAGGGATGAAGAAGTAGGAGTTTAATGTAATGTTTCCTTTTGTAGCTGTAACTTCTCAGAGCTTTCTAAGTAAACTGATTATTTTCACTTCATTTTGTCACAATGTTTTCTCCCATTTGCTCAAATAAACTAAGCATCAATATAAACAGGATTTGGAAGAAATGAAAAACATTAAGGTTTGAATGAATGAGAAACAAGTGTTGAAGTGGTAACACAAACACACTCCTTTAGCTTAGCTTTAGCTTTAGCTTAGCTTAGCTTTAGCTTAGCTTTAGCTTTAGCTTAGCTTAGCTTTAGCTTAGCTTTAGCAGTGTTTTAGGTTGTCACTTAACCGATATTGTTCCAAATCTATGGCAAGCCCCAAAAGTGTTTTGTGTGTGTCTGTGTGTGTGTGTGTGTGTGTGTATGTGTTTTTGTGTGTGTCTGTGTGTGTGTTATGAATGTGTGTGTCATGAATGTGTGTGTCTTAAATGTGTGTGTCATGAATGTGTGTATGAATGTGTGTGTTATGAATGTGTGTGTCATGAATGTGTGTGTTATGTGTGTGTGTGTGTCATGAATGTGTGTGTTATGTGTGTGTTATGAATGTGTGTGTCATGAATGTGTGTGTTGTGAATGTGTGTGTTATGAATGTGTGTGTTACGTGTGTGTTATGAATGTGTGTGTCATGAATGTGTGTGTTACGTGTGTGTTATAAATGTGTGTGTCATGAATGTGTGTGTTGTGTGTGTGTCATGAATGTGTGTGTTGTGTCTTCAGGCGGGAGGTCCGGGCTCTGTTTGCCAAACTTCCTCTCCGCTCACAACACGGCGCCCATGAAGCCTTTTCCTTTGAGCATGAGCTACAACGCCATCAAAGGACTGATGGTCGTCAAAGGTGACGCACACGTTAAAGAACACAGGACAAACACTGGACTGTCCTAGAATAATGTTTTAAAGCTTCTCCAAGCAGAGGGTTAGGATCTTATCACTGGACTTATGTGACACAGTATTTATATAGTCCATTAAAAGTATCTTCCCACATGTTTTAACATCCATAGTAAACTTTATACTATATTTATCTTTATTGAAATACTGGGTCTTTCTTTGTGACCACAAACTCTTGAACAGTTGTGTATCTGTTGTGTTGCCTTTTGTCTAAATGTGCCTCTGGGTTGTGTTTCTTTTCCAGACACCACTTTTGTGGGTTTCAAAGAGGTGTGTTCTGGTCAGGAGAACTTCATGTTCATCACAAACACCATGAACGAGGATCTGCAGCACCCGGTCCACGTGTCCGGCCTCAAGATGGTGGACAGCTCTGACAACAACAAGGCCTTCTTCCACAGAGCCGACGTCGGGTAAGACTCAGTGTGATACTCTCCATCTCGTGAAGTCAGGCTGAGCCTGGACTCATGACAGAGAAGAGGACAGAGACATGATCCTCAAAATCACCAATATCAATGCTAACTCAACATTACATCAGTACAATATGAAACACACAGACACCCTCCCTCTGTGTCTGTGTCTGTGTCTGTGTCTGTGTCTGTGGTCCATAGTCCGCCCAAACACTACACACAAAACTCAACCAAAAATCAGCTTAAGATTGTCCGATGTGTTTGACGGTGTTCTCCGTGACTCCATGAACTCGGGCTGTGAACATTTCCAAGTAGATAATGTCCGTTAAAGGTGTTGTTATGGTTCCTGTGGAGACTTAAATGCCACTACATTTAAATGCCATTGTTGTCGTTGTCGGGAGCAGTGTCGCTGAGACGTTTTAGAGGTAATGGATACTGGAGGAAACCTACGCAGACACAGGGAGAACATGCAAAGAAAGGCACTCAACTGACTGAGATTCAAACCCAGGATGTTTTTGCTTAAATATCAGCTCAGAAGTGCGAGTGCAAAGGGAATAGCATGAGGCTTTTTGGTTGCTATGAGGTTGCTATGAGAGAATTTAGCTCAAAACTTTGGCTCGATTGAGTTGTTCTGGTAAAAGCTGAACACTGAGCTGCTTCTCGTTCACATGAACCTTTGAGAGGATTAACTTACAGACAGACCCTTTAACTGATGATCTTACTCATGTCTGTGTCCAGTAAAGTGAACCCGTCTGACTGCGTGGACATGGAGTGTGATGCTAAGAAGAAGTCCCTGCTGAAGGACCTGGACGGCTCGCTCCTGGGGGCCGTGGGGGCCGTGGTGCCGCAGTCTGAATACGAATGGGACGGAGACGCTCGGAGAGGCCTGGGCGACTACAGGATCCCCAAAGTCATGCTCACGTTCCCCAACGGCAGCCGCATCCCCGTGGACCAGATGGCTCCCCACAAAGGTTAGGTTCTCATTCTGCCACCTCCTATGTCCAGCCACCCTGCCTTTATGGGTGAAGAGGAAGGACTTTGTTCTTAAAGGTGATGTCTGTGACTTCAATTGTATTTAGTTTTTTAAATATTACATATTTTGGACCATACAGTATGTGCCGGTAGTACCACAGTCCTTTGGCATAACCACCGCCATCTGCTGGGAATAGTTGGGCCATGTCTGTGAATTAAGGATTTACATTTATTCCGTCCAATCAGGAAGCAGTGGGGTGAGAATGGGCGGGTCTAACCGGTGCATGCTTTGGAACTGACATTCACTGACATTGGAACTAACGTTAATTGACTTTTACTTGATGAAAAACTCCAAATCTTCCACTGAGCCCGGCCCTCAGGCGCTTGGTTGTCTTGGATGAGTGTAAATAAGAGAGTTAGTGCCTTATTACGACATGATTCCGGCAAAACCACAATTGAATAAAACAGAATTATCAACTCGAGATCACAGTAGAAAGTCGATTTTTGTGAGTATAAATCTGGTAAAATCATTCTTTTTCCGGCTTTGTGACTTTGGGTGACCTCCCTTTAGAACCACCAATCCTTCAAATATTCTTAGATCAGAAACTCAGAATTCAGAATGTGTGAGTCAAACTGTGTCTGTGTTTTCCGTCACATTTACAGATAAACAAGTCTTTGAAACTACTAATTGAACTTGGTGAATGGTGTTGTGTGTTGTCCAGGCGTGATCCGGAAGGACTGCACGTACATGGCGCCGTGGCAGAGCTACAGCTGCACCGGTCTGGACTACAGGCTCCTGGTCATCGAGAGTCTGGACCCGGACTCAGAGACCCGGCGCCTGTCTCCGGTGGCCGTGCTCGGAGACGGATACGTGGACCTCATCAACGGTGAGGCCTGGAACATCATCGTCTGTGTATTTCTATTGTGGACATTACTCAACAGATTACTGGCTTTAGGGGTTCTTCTAATAAGACAAGAAAAGAAAAGAAAGATAGTACTGCTTAATTAGTGCTGCATGTTTTAGCGGTTCACTTCCGCCTTCATCAGAGGTGACGCGAGATGGTGTGTCTCTTATCAGCTGTTGTTGCGGATACGGTCAGTCTGACAGATCTGTGAGATCTGTCAGACTGAGGCTGAGGCTGTAGAACGAGGACTGAGGCTGTAGACCCAGGACTGAGACTGTAGACCCAGGACTGAGGCTGTAGACCCAGGACTGAGGCTGTAGACCCAGGACTGAGGCTGTAGACCCAGGACTGAGGCTGTAGACCCAGGACTGAGGCTGTAGATCCAGGACTGAGACTGTAGACCCAGGACTGAGGCTGTAGACCCAGGACTCAGTCTGTAGACCCAGGACTGAGGCTGTAGACCCAGGACTGAGGCTGTAGACCCAGGACTGAGGCTGTAGGTCCAGGACTGAGGCTGTAGACCCAGGACTGAGGCTGTAGATCCAGGACTGAGGCTGTAGACCCAGGACTGAGGCTGTAAACCCAGGACTGAGGCTGTAGACCCAGGACTGAGGCTGTAGACCCAGGACTGAGGCTGTAGACCCAGGACTGAGGTTGTAGACCCAGGACTGAGGCTGTAGACCCAGGACTGAGGCTGTAGACCCAGGACTGAGGCTGTAGACCCAGGACTGAGGCTGTAGACCCAGGACTGAGGCTGTAGACCCAGGACTGAGGCTTTAGATCCAGGACTGAGGCTGTAGACCCAGGACTGAGGCTGTAGACCCAGGACTGAGGCTGTAGACCCAGGACTGAGGCTGTAGACCCAGGACTGAGGCTGTAGACCCAGGACTGAGACTGTAGACCCAGGACTGAGGCTGTAGACCCAGGACTGAGGCTGTAGACCCAGGACTGAGGCTGTAGACCCAGGACTGAGGCTGTAGATCCAGGACTGAGGCTGTAGACCCAGGACTGAGGCTGTAGACCCAGGACTGAGTCTGTAGACCCAGGACTGAGGCTGTAGACCCAGGACTGAGGCTGTAGACCCAGGACTGAGGCTGTAGATCCAGGACTGAGGCTGTAGATCCAGGACTGAGGCTGTAGATCCAGGACTGAGGCTGTAGACCCAGGACTGAGGCTGTAGACCCAGGACTGAGGCTGTAGACCCAGGACTGAGGCTGTAGACCCAGGACTGAGGCTGTAGACCCAGGACTGAGGCTGTAGACCCAGGACTGAGGCTGTAGACCCAGGACTGAGGCTGTAGACCCAGGACTGAGGCTGTAGACCCAGGACTGAGGCTGTAGACCCAGGACTGAGGCTTTAGATCCAGGACTGAGGCTGTAGACCCAGGACTGAGACTGTAGACCCAGGACTGAGGCTGTAGACCCAGGACTGAGGCTGTAGACCCAGGACTGAGGCTGTAGACCCAGGACTGAGGCTGTAGACCCAGGACTGAGGCTGTAGACCCAGGACTGAGGCTGTAGACCCAGGACTGAGGCTGTAGATCCAGGACTGAGGCTGTAGACCCAGGACTGAGGCTGTAGACCCAGGACTCAGTCTGTAGACCCAGGACCTAAGCTACAAACATACAGCAGATAAACAGAACAATTGAACAGTATTTATTTATAATTATTTGATAAATAGTTTAGTGGGTGTGACTCTGAGCGGGTGTGCAGGGCCCCAGGATCACGGCTGGTGCGCGGGTTACACGTGTCAGAAGAGGCTGTCTCTGTTCCACGCCATCGTCGCCCTGAACCATGAGTTCGAGGTGTTCTTCAGCAGCGTCAGTCCACAGAAGCTGCGGCTGATGCTGAACACGGCCGGGCCCTCGGACGTGAGTGCAGCTCCACGTTTTTCAGACTCAGAAACACGGTTATGACACGTGTGTTTCTCAGAGCGTGTTGGTGTCCGTGTTCTACTCCGCGCCGCAGCGTTTGGACGTTTATGTCGACAATAAACTGGTGGCTCCGATGAACGCTCAGTGGAACGAGGAGAGGACGGACTACACCCTGCTGGAGCCTCAGACCCCAGGTACAGACCCACATGGAGCCTCAGACCCCAGGTACAGACCCACATGGAGCCTCAGACCCCAGGTACAGAGACCCACATGGAGCCTCAGACCCCAGGTACAGAGACCCTCATGGAGCCTCAGACCCCAGGTACAGACCCTCATGGAGCCTCAGACCCCAGGTACAGACTCACATGGAGCCTCAGACCCCAGGTACAGACTCACATGGAGCCTCAGACCCCAGGTACAGACCCTCATGGAGCCTCAGACCCCAGGTACAGACCCTCATGGAGCCTCAGACCCCAGGTACAGACCCACATGGAGCCTCAGACCCCAGGTACAGACCCACATGGAGCCTCAGACCCCAGGTACAGACCCACATGGAGCCTCAGACCCCAGGTACAGAGACCCTCATGGAGCCTCAGACCCCAGGTACAGACCCACATGGAGCCTCAGACCCCAGGTACAGACCCACATGGAGCCTCAGACCCCAGGTACAGAGACCCTCATGGAGCCTCAGACCCCAGGTACAGACCCACATGGAGCTTCAGACCCCAGGTACAGACCCACATGGAGCCTCAGACCCCAGGTACAGACCCACATGGAGCCTCAGACCCCAGGTACAGACCCACATGGAGCCTCAGACCCCAGGTACAGACCCACATGGAGCTTCAGACCCCAGGTACAGAGACCCACATGGAGCCTCAGACCCCAGGTACAGACCCACATGGAGCCCCAGACCCCAGGTACAGAGACCCTCATGGAGCCTCAGACCCCAGGTACAGACCCTCATGGAGCCTCAGACCCCAGGTACAGACCCACATGGAGCCTCAGACCCCAGGTACAGAGACCCTCATGGAGCCTCAGACCCCAGGTACAGACCCTCATGGAGCCTCAGACCCCAGGTACAGACCCTCATGGAGCCTCAGACCCCAGGTACAGAGACCCTCATGGAGCCTCAGACCCCAGGTACAGACCCACATGGAGCCTCAGACCCCAGGTACAGAGACCCTCATGGAGCCTCAGACCCCAGGTACAGACCCACATGGAGCCTCAGACCCCAGGTACAGACCCTCATGGAGCCTCAGACCCCAGGTACAGACCCACATGGAGCCTCAGACCCCAGGTACAGACTCACATGGAGCCTCAGACCCCAGGTACAGAGACCCACATGGAGCCTCAGACCCCAGGTACAGACCCTCATGGAGCCTCAGACCCCAGGTACAGAGACCCACATGGAGCCTCAGACCCCAGGTACAGAGACCCACATGGAGCCTCAGACCCCAGGTACAGACCCACATGGAGCCTCAGACCCCAGGTACAGACCCACATGGAGCCTCAGACCCCAGGTACAGACCCACATGGAGCCTCAGACCCCAGGTACAGACCCACATGGAGCCTCAGACCCCAGGTACAGACCCACATGGAGCCTCAGACCCCAGGTACAGAGACCCTCATGGAGCCTCAGACCCCAGGTACAGACCCACATGGAGCCCCAGACCCCAGGTACAGAGACCCACATGGAGCCTCAGACCCCAGGTACAGAGACCCACATGGAGCCTCAGACCCCAGGTACAGACCCACATGGAGCCTCAGACCCCAGGTACAGAGACCCTCATGGAGCCTCAGACCCCAGGTACAGACCCACATGGAGCCTCAGACCCCAGGTACAGACCCACATGGAGCCTCAGACCCCAGGTACAGACCCACATGGAGCCTCAGACCCCGGGTACAGACTCACATGGAGCCTCAGACCCCAGGTACAGAGACCCTCATGGAGCCTCAGACCCCAGGTACAGACCCTCATGGAGCCTCAGACCCCAGGTACAGACCCACATGGAGCCTCAGACCCCAGGTACAGACCCTCATGGAGCCTCAGACCCCAGGTACAGACCCACATGGAGCCTCAGACCCCAGGTACAGACCCTCATGGAGCCTCAGACCCCAGGTACAGACTCACATGGAGCCTCAGACCCCAGGTACAGACCCTCATGGAGCCTCAGACCCCAGGTACAGACTCACATGGAGCCTCAGACCCCAGGTACAGACCCTCATGGAGCCTCAGACCCCAGGTACAGACCCTCATGGAGCCTCAGACCCCAGGTACAGAGACCCTCATGGAGCCTCAGACCCCAGGTACAGAGACCCACATGGAGCCTCAGACCCCAGGTACAGAGACCCACATGGAGCCTCAGACCCCAGGTACACCCCCACATGGAGCCTCAGACCCCAGGTACAGAGACCCTCATGGAGCCTCAGACCCCAGGTACAGAGACCCTCATGGAGCCTCAGACCCCAGGTACAGACTCACATGGAGCCTCAGACCCCAGGTACAGAGACCCACATGGAGCCTCAGACCCCAGGTACAGACCCACATGGAGCCTCAGACCCCAGGTACAGAGACCCTCATGGAGCCTCAGACCCCAGGTACAGACCCACATGGAGCCTCAGACCCCAGGTACAGACCCACATGGAGCCTCAGACCCCAGGTACAGAGACCCACATGGAGCCTCAGACCCCAGGTACAGACCCACATGGAGCCTCAGACCCCAGGTACAGACTCACATGGAGCCTCAGACCCCAGGTACAGACCCACATGGAGCCTCAGACCCCAGGTACAGACCCACATGGAGCCTCAGACCCCAGGTACAGACCCACATGGAGCCTCAGACCCCAGGTACAGACCCACATGGAGCCTCAGACCCCAGGTACAGACCCACATGGAGCCTCAGACCCCAGGTACAGAGACCCACATGGAGCCTCAGACCCCAGGTACAGACCCTCATGGAGCCTCAGACCCCAGGTACAGACCCACATGGAGCCTCAGACCCCAGGTACAGACCCACATGGAGCCTCAGACCCCAGGTACAGAGACCCACATGGAGCCTCAGACCCCAGGTACAGACCCTCATGGAGCCTCAGACCCCAGGTACAGACCCTCATGGAGCCTCAGACCCCAGGTACAGACCCACATGGAGCCTCAGACCCCAGGTACAGACCCTCATGGAGCCTCAGACCCCAGGTACAGAGACCCTCATGGAGCCTCAGACCCCAGGTACAGACCCACATGGAGCCTCAGACCCCAGGTACAGAGACCCACATGGAGCCTCAGACCCCAGGTACAGACCCTCATGGAGCCTCAGACCCCAGGTACAGAGACCCTCATGGAGCCTCAGACCCCAGGTACAGAGACCCCTGAAGTGACACCGAGACCCTCTCCCTGATCCTGATCTTCACAAGTTCATTTCAGATCCATAGTTTAGTCCCATTACGAGATAAAGAAATAAAACACACATTTGGCCTGCTCTTTAACCCTTTAATGTTCACTGCTCGAATGAAGCAATGTACTGAAAAAAAGAATTCCAAGATAAAGGCTTTAACACAATTCATTTGTTTTTATCTTTTATCATTCTTTTATGCCTGAGTTTTATATTTTGAGATGCAGTTTGATGTAAAAGTGCCTAAAACCAAGTGACAGAGAATTGAGACGATGAGGTGGGTTTCACTTCCAAGGTCAAAAAGATCCATCACAGGCTTCAAAATATCAGAAACAGACACTTTTTTACTGTAAAAAATAGTTTGCATAGTGTAGCAAAGGGACAGTGTAGCAAAGGGACAGTGTAGCAAAGGGACAGTGTAGCAAAGGGACAGTGTAGCAAAGGGACCGTGTAGCAAAGGGACAGTGTAGCAAAGGAACCGTGTAGCAAAGGGACCGTGTAGCAAAGGGACAGTGTAGCAAAGGAACCGTGTAGCAAAGGGACAGTGTAGCAAAGGGACAGTGTAGCAAAGGGACAGTTTAGCAAAGGAACCGTGTAGCAAAGGGACAGTGTAGCAAAGGGACCGTGTAGCAAAGGGACAGTGTAGCAAAGGGACAGTGTAGCAAAGGGACAGTGTAGCAAAGGGACAGTGTAGCAAAGGGACAGTGTAGCAAAGGGACAGTGTAGTAAAGGACAGCGTAGTAAAGGGACAGCGTAGCAAAGGGACCGTGTAGCAAAGGGACCGTGTAGCAAAGGGACAGTGTAGCAAAGGGACCGTGTAGCAAAGGGACAGTGTAGCAAAGGGACAGTGTAGCAAAGGGACAGTGTAGCAAAGGGACAGTGTAGCAAAGGGACAGTGTAGCAAAGGGACAGTGTAGCAAAGGAACCGTGTAGTAAAGGGACAGTGTAGCAAAGGGACAGTGTAGCAAAGGGACAGTGTAGCAAAGGAACCGTGTAGCAAAGGGACAGTGTAGCAAAGGGACCGTGTAGCAAAGGGACCGTGTAGCAAAGGGACAGTGTAGCAAAGGGACAGTGTAGCAAAGGGACAGTGTAGCAAAGGGACAGTTTAGCAAAGGAACCGTGTAGCAAAGGGACCGTGTAGCAAAGGGACAGTGTAGCAAAGGGACCGTGTAGCAAAGGGACAGTGTAGCAAAGGGACAGTTTAGCAAAGGAACCGTGTAGCAAAGGGACCGTGTAGCAAAGGGACAGTGTAGCAAAGGGACCGTGTAGCAAAGGGACAGTGTAGCAAAGGGACAGTTTAGCAAAGGAACCGTGTAGTAAAGGGACAGTGTAGCAAAGGGACCGTGTAGCAAAGGGACCGTGTAGCAAAGGGACAGTGTAGCAAAGGGACCGTGTAGCAAAGGGACAGTGTAGCAAAGGGACCGTGTAGCAAAGGGACAGTGTAGCAAAGGAACCGTGTAGCAAAGGGACAGTGTAGCAAAGGAACCGTGTAGCAAAGGGACAGTGTAGCAAAGGGACCGTGTGTGATTGTCCCTGTGTCGCAGGTCAGTACGTCCCGCCCATGAACGCCTCGGCCGGGTCCAACGTCTTCGACCCGGAGATGAAGATGCTGCGTGTTCTGGTCAAAGGGCTGCAGGCGGTGGAGGTCCGGACTTCTCCGGTGCTGGTTCTGGCCTTCGACCTGCCCGCCATGACCCAGGACCAGTTCTTTGGGGAGAACCTGGTGCAGAACCTGGCGCTGTTCCTCAAAGTTCCCTCCAACATGATCCGGGTCACGAAGATCGTGCGAGCGGACGGACGGCGCCGCAGGAGGTCCACCGGTCTCTCTGTGGAAGTGGAGATCAAACAGCCCCCAGTGCAGGAGACCACCAACGCCACCAACGGTCAGTGCTCAGACCGCCACACACTAAAGCTGAGGTACCTATATTTAATCACAGGGACTGGAAAGATGCAGTAACACCTCACTAATGTTACTAGCTCCTCAAACAGTTTAGGTTCTGTCTCTGGATCCACACATTCTGTGACTGTTGAGTCAGGACACAGGGACAGGAGGATATGATTAGATTGTGAAAAGATTATTTATGTGGCACAGTTCATACACAACTCAAAGTTATTAACAAAATAAGAAAAGAAACATTAAAATCATAAATAATCACAGTTCATTAAAAAGAGCAAAGTTAAACCCCTCAAACAGATAAACAGAACTGTTTTAATCTGGATTAGAACAGTGTCAGAGGCCAGTCCCTGTGCTCCTCAGAGTCCCAGCAGGAGGCCAGTCCCTGTGCTCCTCAGAGTCCCAGCAGGAGGCCAGTCCCTGTGCTCCTCAGAGTCCCAGCAGGAGGCCAGTCCCTGTGCTCCTCAGAGTCCCAGCAGGAGGCCAGTCCCTGTGCTCCTCAGAGTCCCAGCAGGAGGCCAGTCCCTGTGCTCCTCAGAGTCCCAGCAGGAGTCCAGTCCCTGTGCTCCTCAGAGTCCCAGCAGGAGGCCAGTCCCTGTGCTCCTCAGAGTCCCAGCAGGAGGCCAGTCCCTGTGCTCCTCAGAGTCCCAGCAGGAGGCCAGTCCCTGTGCTCCTCAGAGTCCCAGCAGGAGTCCAGTCCCTGTGCTCCTCAGAGTTGGTTCATGTGGCACTAACATGTCACAGATGTACGTTGGTTCGAGGCCCTGGAGAGACATATGCAGCTGTTTTAAAGTCTATCTGGAGCCGCAGGAGCCTCTGTGCCGTCTTTAATCCATACAAAATGTCCATTTATCGTATGAAAGTTTTTGCCTAAACTTTCAAACATTTGGACAAAAGAGTGAGTCGTGTCTTAGCCTTTATAAAGTAAATAATCTCAGACGTGTGTTTTCAGGAGACGAGGCCTTTACTGTTCTCTCTAAGATCGCGGATGATCTGGGACGAGCTTTTGCTTCGCTTGAATCATTTTATTTACATTTTTTGTTTCTCCTTTAATCATTTTATTTACAAAACGAGGATTACTCCTTCTACACACTTCAGCTTTGTGGAATTTATCAACTTTAGTCATGTCGGGACAAAAGAGACGGAGAAACGTCTGCGGTGGATGTTGGGCTCTGGAATCAGCTCAAATCCTTCAAACACGGATATCTATTGTGTGTATTAAGGTAAGTGATATGACGTCATTTCTTTTCCCAAAAATCAACCAATGAGAATTATTGGAACAATTGTGTGGAGCTAAAACCCAAAGTTGACAAAGCTAAGAATGACAATAGGAGTGAAATAAGGCCACAACTAAATGTTCTGAAGGACTTCAAACCGCTTTTTACCCCTTTCTGAAACAACAAAGCCGCCTAACAACTGCAGCGCCTCCCACCAAGGACAAAACTGTGTCCTTATCGGAGAGGTTCGGTGAAAAAATGTAAACATGGAGTCCATGCTCACTGTCTCAGTTCACTCTGCAAAAGTTTCGAGATAAGGACTCTTCTGGCCTAAAGTGTTATCTGAGAACAGTGGTGTGCTACATTATTGAATCCACACGGGGCGGTAGATATCTATGAGAAGGCAAGCGAGAAGTTACAATGAGTTAACGCAGTTACTGGATGACCTCAAAAAAATGGACATAACAATTTTTCATAGTGTACCACTTCCAAATATAATGGAAAAAGTTTAGCCGTCTGTATCAGCTAAATACATTCCTACTCAATGAGTGTTCACGCAGAGGACTTGGCTTCATTGAAAACTTGAATCTGTTCTGGAATAGCACGAGCTTTTTGAAGAAAAAGGGTCCACATCTGAACAACTACGGAGTAAAAGTGTTGATGATAACTTTGCATCTGCCCTAAGACCTCAGCCTGCGCAGCGCGTGCAGCCGTTGAAAGGGAGAAAGAAGAAGCAAAGGCACAGACATCACGACCATCTCCACCGACTCCCGATGGTCTCTGCACCCCCACCGCCTCAAAAAACTCCACACCTCCACGATCAAGAAGAACTCAACACCTCCAAGGTTCCAAAAGAACTCAACTCCTCCACGGCTCCGAAAGAGCTCAACGCCTCCACCACCAGCATCATCAGCAGCTGCCACATCTTCATCAGCGCCATCAGCATATACAGCACCACCAGCAGCAGTGGATACAGCCGCAGCAGTGGCTGCTCCATCATCTTCAGCAGCAGCAGTGATACAGCAGCCAGCATGGCTGCTCCATCATCTTCAAGCAGCAGCAGTGGTGATAGCAGCAGCAGCAGTGGCTGCTCCATCATCTTCAGCAGCAGCAGTGGCTGCTCCATCATCTTCAGCAGCAGCAGTGGATACAGCAGCAGCAGTGGCTGCTCCATCATCTTCAGCAGCAGCAGTGGCTGCTCCATCATCTTCAGCAGCAGCAGTGGCTGCTCCATCATCTTCAGCAGCAGCAGTGGCTGCTCCATCATCTTCAGCAGCACCTTCCCCACCTACAGCTCCCGTGAAGCCCCCCCCATTGCTCCAGGCTACAGTCAGGCCTGTACTGGGGGTTCCTCAACCACCTCTGTCTCCACCAAAGACTCCCTCATCACCTTCCATGGACCCGGCTTGGGTCCCCCCCGCTACATCCACTCCATCTAGGGAAAATGAGGACGACCTTTCCCTTTGTTTTCTATCCCCGCCTTCACTACTGGAATTACCGGAACACTCTGCAGGCATGATAAGATCGGCGATGAAGACTATTCCTCTCACACCCACTGTAGCCAGATCAAGAGTCCTATCTAACATTCAAAACTACTCCCCATACGTACCTCCAAAGCCCCCCCCCCCCCCGTCCAACTCCCAAGAACCACCCACCTCTCCATCCTCCTCCCTCCTCTCCCTAGGATGCACAGGGTCTCTGCTTCGCAGCCACTGGCAGTCTAGTTAGAGGAGAGACCCGGCTGGGGCCCTGTCATGAAGCCACCTGTGCCATTCCCTTAGTGATAACACAAAGAATACATTACAGAAAAACATCTGAAGTTAATCAGTCTAATCTGGAAAATCTAATTCTTGTTCCGTGTAAGAATCAGCCGACCACAACCGCTGATACTGAAACTTTGAAACTTGCTATGCTAAATGTCAGATCTCTTTGTAACAAGTCTTTTTTAATCAATAATTTTATTTGTTCTTATAATCTAGATCTTATGTTCATGGCTGAAACTTGGCTTGACCAAAATACAGAAAATGCAGTTTTAATAGAAGCATCACCACCAAATTTCAAATTTGAATCTGAAATACGGGGAAACAAAAAAGGAGGAGGCTTAGCTGCCATTTTTCGAGACCACTTTGTCTCCCATAGAATGTCTCTTGGGAAGATTCCGTCTTTTGAATATGTGTCTTTTAAAATACAACAAAAACAATCTCCTCCAATACTTTTTGTTGTCCTATACAAGCCACCGCAGTCATGTCACAGTTTTATTGATAATTTTACAGAGTTGCTTTCAGTTGTATGCACAGATTTTGATAGCTTAGTTGTTACAGGGGATTTTAATATTCATGTGGATAATGTTGATGACAGAAATGCAAAAGAGCTGAGTTCTGTTCTTGAATCTTTTGGTCTCACTCAGCATGTGAGTGGCCCCACCCACAGCAGAGGGCACACTCTAGACCTGTTAGTTACAAAGGGGGTGAACATTTATAATGTAAACGTGGTCGATGTTGCCCTTTCGTCATTTTTGTATATTTTTTGACATGTGTTTCACTAACAAACCACCAGTGGACTCTGCAACTGTACGAAGAAGACACATAAATGAAAATACGAGTGAACTATTTATGGGAATGATATACTTTGAGAATGCATCGTATTCTACTGTAGATGAACTGTTTAACTCTGTCACCTCTGTTTTGAATGTTCTGGATACCGTTGCCCCTGTGAAGGTTAAAATAGTGAAAAATAAGCAGAAGGCGCCGTGGGCTAAAGCAGACTCGGTCAGAGCACTGAAGAGAAAGTGCCGGAGGGCCGAGCGGAAGTGGCGCAAGTCCAACCTCCAGGTTGATTACGAGATCTTCAAAGATAAGTTGTGCGAGTTTAACCGGGTGCTACGTAGTACGAGAGAAAGGTATTTTTCTGAAATGATTGAAGGCTGCAGCAACAATCTGCGTGTTCTGTTTTCAACAGTTAATAGATTAACAAACCCCCCTGTTCAGATGCCATTAGAGCTTACTTCCAAACGTAAATGTAATGAGTTTGCACATTTTTTCAATGACAAGGTTCAAGGCATCAAAAACGCCATTGTCTCCAATCCACAGATAACCATCCAACAGCCAGAAAGGCTCTCTGAGCTAACTCACTTTGCACCTGTAAATGATAAAACTGTCCAAGAGATAATCTCCAGTTTGAGCTCCTCCACATGCAGCCTGGATGTACTACCCACTAGATTTCTGAAGTCTGTTCTGAGCAGTCTGTTACCTTCACTCACACAGATAGTAAACATGTCCCTTCATTCTGGAATATTCCCAAAGGCCCTGAAAACTGCAGTCATCAGGCCCCTGCTAAAAAAGAGCAGTCTGGATGCTACGGTACTTAACAACTATCGTCCCATCTCAAATCTGCCATTTATGGGGAAAGTCCTTGAAAATGTTGTCTACCTACAGCTTACTAGATTTCTTATAATCAACAACTCATTTGATATGTTTCAGTCCGGCTTTAGACCCCACCACAGCACTGAGACTGCTCTCGTCAAGGTTACAAACAATATCCGGCTGAACACTGACGCAGGCAAAGTCTCAATCCTAATCCTGTTAGATCTGAGTGCTGCCTTTGACACCGTCGACCATGAGATCCTCTTACAGAGACTAGAGGACTGGGTTGGCGTCGCTGGCACCGCCCTAAGTTGGTTTAGGTCTTACCTTGAAGACAGGAAGTACTTTGTGGAGATTGGAAACTGTGTCTCAGATCATATGGCCCTGACCTGTGGAGTACCACAGGGGTCGATCCTGGGACCTCTTCTGTTCAATCTCTACATGCTGCCGTTAGGTCAGTTAATACGCAGAAACAAAGTGTCCTATCATAACTATGCAGACGACACTCAGATCTATGTCTCACTGACTGCAGGAGAACATGGACCAGTGGACTCACTCCTTCACTGTATCCAACAGATCAGTGAGTGGATGCAAAACAACTTCCTTCAGCTAAACACAGACAAAACTGAAATGATTGTCTTTGGTCCCCAGAAACAAAGAGAGAGCGTCATCTGTCACCTACAGTCTCTCTCCCTAAAACCTTCAAACAAGGTCAGAAATCTAGGGGTAATACTGGACTCAGACTTAAATTTTAATAGCCACATCAAATCAGTAACATCAGCAGCTTTTTACCATCTAAAAAACATTGCCAGGATCAAAAACATAGTGTCTAAAGCAGACCTGGAGATTCTTATCCATGCATTTGTCTCCAGTAGGTTGGACTACTGCAATGGCCTGCTCACAGGTCTGTCCAAACAGGCTGTAAAACAGCTGCAGTACATTCAAAATGCAGCAGCTCCAGTCCTGACTAGAACCAGGAAGTACGACCATATTAGTCCTGACTAGAACCAGGAAGTACGACCACATTAGTCCTGACTAGAACCAGGAAGTACGACCATATTAGTCCTGACTAGAACCAGGAAGTACGACCATATTAGTCCAGTCCTCAGGTCCCTGCACTGGCTTCCTGTGGCTCAGAGAATAGACTTTAAAACAGCACTGCTTGTTACAAGTCTCTCCATGGCCTCGCACCAAAATATATTAGTGACATGTTAGTCCCATATGAACCAGCCCGGACTCTGAGGAGCACAGGGACTGGACTCCTGCTGGGACTCTGAGGAGCACAGGGACTGGACTCCTGCTGGGACTCTGAGGAGCACAGGGACTGGACTCCTGCTGGGACTCTGAGGAGCACAGGGACTGGACTCCTGTTAGTGCCCAGAGTCAGAACTAAACATGGGGAGGCTGCTTTTCAGATTCATGCTGCTAAAATCTGGAACAATCTTCCTGAAGATGTGAGACAGGCCTCCTCTCT